ATTGCAGTTTTGCGAAAAACACCAATTTCGATACGGCCGAAAAACCACCTCATCCTAGCGCAAAAACATTTTGTTGAAAAACATAATTTTTTTCGAAACTGACGTGTTTCCATTGAGCAAATTTATTTTCGAAAGTCTAATTTGCGCATTTTCATGGTCAATGGAAACGCAGCTATGGTTTGCTCTAAATCAGTGGTTCCCAACCTTTTTAGACTTGTGTACCCCTGAGCCATTTTGTCTTACCACTAGTACCCCCTCTGTCAAACGTAATGATGATTCTCTAAAACTGTAATGTATAACTGACTATTAAATGAAAAGCTCTTTATTTAACCCCCTAGAACATTTATTTCTCGAAATTTTTCAAAATTCTAGTTTGCGCATTTTCATGGTCAATGGAAACGCAGCCACTGACATGTACCCATGTCATTTTTTTAGTTCAACGTCGGCATGATGGCAGGTTTGTAACGAGCTCGGTCTCTTTCCTCCCAACAGAAAAAGCGGCTCTCCTTTCTCCGGACGAAGACGTGCAGAAGAGCGACATCTCGTCCAGTAGTCAGGGGCTGGTGGAGAAGGAGGCACTGGGGCCGATGCTGCTCGAGGTGACGTGTTCGACACAATCACATCATGCTGATATTCCCAGCTTTTACAGTGAGCATCATCTCCTCTTCATTGCTCACTCAGGCCCTGGATGGGTTCTTCTTTGTGGTGAACCGCGAGGGCCGTATCGTCTTTGTCTCTGAGAACGTGACGAGTTATCTCGAGTACACCCAGGAAGAGCTGATGACCTCGAGTGTCTACAGCATCCTCCATGTGGGAGACCACAATGAATTTGTTCGTAATCTGCTGCCTAAAAGCCTCGGTGAGTGAGCTCTGCTGTTGKCAGGTTTAAACAACGTTTGGTAATTATCTTTCAAGAATCCCGAAATGCAACAGTTCCCATGGCAATGAAAAACATTCTGGCAGCACATTTTGTGTCTTGGATACAGATAATTTTGTTTAGTAGAAGAAAATGATGTAGTTTTTTGAGCTTTGAGGACAGGAAGGAGGATGAGTCGTGCAAATTTTAAATGAAGTAGGTTTTCCTGCTCAACTCTAAAGTTGCCAAATCAATTTAGGGAGGAAAGTGTTCAGAGGCAGCACACGTGTGGGTGAGTGTGGTGAGAAACAATAGCTTTATTCAGCGCGATGAAATTAGTTTGCTTTTCAGTTTACTTTTAAAGTACAGCCTTGAGAAGAGATTATAATAAAATCATAGGAGGCCTGAGGACAGAAGATAGAGTGCAGCAGACAGCAAGGTCACAATTTAACTTTTTCATTTTTTTTCTTCCACAGCTGTTAGAGCTCTTMTTTCTTTAGAAAATGTACACTGACAAAAAACCTTTTTCTAAATATATGTTTTAGTAAAGATATGCATCCTTAAAAATGCAGTTTCTCTTAACTGAAAATAAAAATAATAATAAAATATTTAAAAGATGGATGGATTTTTTTTGTAGATGGATGGAATGGATGGATGACTAAAAGACTGTTTGACCAATGGATGGATGGATGGATATTTAGATAAATATTTGGAGGAATGAATGTATGTTGGTTTGTTGCTCGTTGGTTGTTTGGTTGATTGGTTTGGATGGTTATGGTTGGTTGGTTGGTTAAGTTGGTTAGGTTGGTTGGTTAAGTTGGTTAGGTTGGTTGGTTAAGTAGGTTAGGTTGGTTGATTAGATTAGTTGGTTAGGTTGGTTGGTTAGGTTGGTTAAGTTGGTTTGGTTGGTTGGTTTGGTTGGTTAGGTTGGTTGGTTTGGTTGGTTAAGGTGGTTAGGATGGTTAGGTTAGTTCGTTAGGTTGGTTAAGTTGGTTAGGTTGGTTGGTTGAATTGTTTAGGGTTAGGTTGATTAGGTTGGTTAAGTTGGTTAGGTTGGCCGGTTTGGTTGGTTAGGATGGTTCGTTAGGTTGGTTAAGTTGGTTAGGGTTCGGTTTGCTGGTTAAGTTGGTCTGTTTGGTTGGTTAAGTTGGTTAGGTTGGTTAGGATGGTTTGYTAGGTTGGTTAAGTTGGTTAGGTTGGTTGGTTGGTTGGTTAAGTCGGTTAGGGTTAGGTTGGTTGGTTGGTTAAGTTGGTTAGGTTGGTTGGTTGGTTAGGTTGGTTGGTTGGTTGGTTGGTTAAGTTGGTTAGGGTTAGGTTGTTTTGTTAAGTTGCTTAGGTTGGTTGGTTGGTTAAGTAGGTTAGTTGGTTAGGTTGGTTGGTTAGGTTGGTTAAGTTGGTTTGGTTGGTTGGTTAAGTTGGTTAGGTTGGTTGGTTAAGTTGGTTGGGATGGTTAGGTTAGTTTGTTAAGTTGGTTAGGTTGGTTGGTTAAATTGTTTAGGGTTAGGTTGGTTAGGTTGGTTAAGTGGGTTAGGTTGGTTAGGATGGTTCGTTAGGTTGGTTGGTTATGTTGGTTAAGTTGGTTAGTTTGGTTAGGATGGTTGTTAGGTTGGTTGGTTAGGTTAGGATGGTTGTTAGGTTGGTTAAGTTGGTTGGTTAAGTTGGTTGGATGGATGAATTTGATGGATAGATAATCAAACTAAACAAATCCATTAGCTTAGCAAATCTTCAAACATTTATTTTTAATAGTAATGCATACATTGATAGATTGATAGATTTCAAATAAAAATTATTTTTAAAAATACATTCATTTTTATGAGTATTAAACTACTTATTTCTTTCCTCCATTTGCAAAAACTTTTTATTTAAAAWTAATAGATTGTTTTGAATTGTTGTGCTAAATTATAAATCAAAGCTTTTCCAGTACTTTCAGCTTGACTTGATCTGTTGTTAACACAGGTTGTGTCTGACGGTTATCCGTCCCCCTGTCTCATGTCTCTGTCCAGTAAACGGCGTCCCCTGGCCACAGGACGCTGGCCGTAGGAACAGCCACACCTTTAACTGTCGTATGTTGAAGAGGCCTCCGGACAAGGTGGACTCTGAGAACATGGAGGCCCGGCAGCAGTATGAGATCATGCAGTGTTTCACCGTGTCGCAGCTGCGGGCCATGCAGGAGGAGGGCGATGGTGCGTGCAGCTAGAACACACACACCMTACACTCAGTCAACATGTCAATTTTCTTAAAACGCTGATGACAACTAAAGGCTTTTAATGCACATAGTTTTAAACTAACTGCACAGTACATATTTATATGTATTTATTGTCTGTGAAAGCCTTTGTTAATGAGCGTAGTGTCAAATTTAATTTAAAAAAGTCATTATTTTGGAACTAGAATCACCTTTTTATTAAAATACTTGGATATACAATCTGTATACCATGTATTTTAGTGTTTCTTGTTTATTTGTAGCATTAATTTTAACACACGTAAAACCCACTGTGAGGTTTAAAAAAAGAGAAATGTTAACTTAGTTTTTTTTCTGCTTCTTGTTAAGTTTTGGCCATCTCAGGAATGAATCCAATTTAAGAAAATATTTGTTCCAGAACACTAAAATYGACAGTCTGTTGATGAATAAATACTTGTTCTGTTGTGTTATTGATTTTTATTCCCCCCTCTCACACACCTTTGTTACTCGTGATTGAAAGTTTTAACTAACATTAAGGTTTAAACCTTTCACGGCTTTTTATAATCGTGCCAGTTGGACCATCAGCAGATTTCTGGAGGACGTATCAAATATTTTGAAATCCACTGTCACTGCAACCTTGAAAAATAGTGTTTTTGTCATTTCTGTGCTTTTGATTTTTGGCTGTTTAACTCTGTAGGCTTTAAGTCATTTTGATAAGAACTGGCCTTGTGGGGTTGTGGTACTTTTTTTCTGTCCATGACTTCCTCTTCTTTTTTTCTTTTTTTCTTTTTTTAACTTGGACCTTTTTGCTTTTTTGAAAATTTTATTCTGAATCTAAGATTATAACTTCAAGTTTTATAATTTTATGGACAACTAAAGTGAAGGTTAGATTTGAGACTGCCAAAGTTTGTAAGGAAATTGTATTTTTCCCTGTCATTACATGGATTTTAGGAAACGTAATATCATATACAACTCTTTTCATTTTGTGGATATCAAGCTAATATTTGATGTGTTACAGGCTGAAGGTCATTCCCAACAAACTTTTTTTAAAATTTAATTTAAACAACAAAAAACAACCATTAAAAATAAACAAAAAAGCACAATATCATTAAATGAAAAGAAGCAGAGAGAAGAAAAGAATCTTATATCTGCCCCCAATTAAAACAATATCCATAAGAATAACAAAATATACGTCAACAAAGAAATAAAAATAAAAATAAAAACTACTATTATTTCATCCAATGAACAGCTGAGAGAGAAAAAACAACAAAAACAAAAAAACAAGAACAAATGTAAATTATTCAAACATAGACTGCCCATAACTTAACAAACATAAAGTTTTGACCCTCATTCTAAATGAATGAATAGTACCAGTACTTTTGAGGTCCTTTACGAAACTATTCCATAATTTGATACCCTGAACTGAAGTACATCTCTCTTTCAAGCTTATTCTAATTTTTGGTAAAACAAACGTCTCGAATCCTTTCAAATTAAAACAAGTTTCCCGCAGATCCTTAAAAAGTCTTAAAAGGCGTTGAATTAATCAGTCCAAAGATAAGGCCTTAATTAGCTTTTAAAAGTCTTAAATCAATCTTTCAGAGGTCTTAAAATGTAAGTAGGATGATTGTAATTCCTCTCAAATATTAATAGAATTGGTAACATTTATTTATTTTTTAAAATATTTTATTGAATGTGCCTCGCAGCGAGTTGTTTTGTATAAAAATTGTCGCTAACTTTTTTTCCATTTGTGTTTATTGTGATACTGGTCTTAAGTTTAATTTRAAGTGGCATTAAATAGGTCTTAAAAAGTYTTAAATTTAGCTTGCCTTAAACTGTAGGAACCCTGTATAAACACTTTTCCTCTTAGTAAAATAAAATTGTATTTCAGAAGGTAAAGCATTGTTATGAGCTTTATACATCATCAACAAAATTCTGTAATTAACCAGATCATAAAACTTCAATAATCTCAACAGACTAAACAAAACTTTAGATGTATGACAACAATGATTTCCTGTAAAAATTCTCACGGCTCTTTTCTGCAAAACAAAAACAGGAAATGTAAATGTTTTACAAGCTTTTCCCCAAACATCAGTGCAGTAAGTTAAATGAGGTTCAATAATGGCGTTATATAATTAAAGCAATACTTCATCATTAAATACTTCCTTAGCCTTGTATAAAACTGCAATTGATTTCACAATTTTAGTTTTAATGTAACTTATGTGAGATTTCCAATTTAAATTTTCATCAATAAAAACGCCCAAAAATTTCACCTCGGTATCTCTGCTAATTTCAACACCACAAATTTGAAATGAAACATCAACCATTTTTTTTCTTTTACTAAATATCATATAGTTAGTTTT